TATAATTTAGTACTATTGAGATAACCAAGCAATTTCAACAATGCTTCCCAATGCCTAATTCCAGGATTCTCCTGAAACTGTGATAAGATATTCACTGCATATGTAATATCAGGCCTTGTCCTGTTAGCTACAAGAACTAAACATCCCAACAGATTTCTAAAGGGTAATGTATGCATTTCCGCAATTTCTGCACTTGTAGATGGACAATCTAATTTGGTAAGAATAATGCCTTTATCTATGGGAAGTGAAGTTATTGGTATCTGAAAATGTTTAAATTTTTCAAAAGTTTCTTCTATATATTTTTGCTGATATATAAAAACCCCATTCTCATTCTCTAAGAATTCAGTTCTAAGTAACGTTTCAGTTTTGCCTAATACTTTAAGATCAAAAAACTTACTCAGCTGTGAAATTACTTTATACCATATTGATCTTTATTAAAAATCACAATATCATCTACATATAACAAGAGAGTTACATCTGAACTTTTATAAACACAATTACACCATTGTATTTTTTAAAATGTAGATTTTCTAAAATGCTTTCAAATTCACAAAACCATTCATGGCCGCTTTGATGTAGACCGTAAATGGCCTTGTGTAATAAACACACTTTATTTTCCTCTTCAATAAATCCCTCTGGTTGGGTCATATATATTTTTCATTTAGGTTTGCATATAAATATGCATTCTTTACATCTAACTGACAATTAGTCCATCCATATATAAACATACCAGTATAGTGAAAAATATTCTTATGATTGAAAAATTTACTACAGGACTGTAAACGTCATGAAAATCTTCACCTCTTTTCTGCCTGAATCCCTGTGCTACTAAACATGCTTTGTATCTAACCTCTTGATTCTTTTCATTTCTTTTTAGCATATAGACCCATTTGTTTCCTAGCATAGTTTTATTTTCTGGCTTTTCGACTAATTCTCAAACCTTTCTTTTCTTCATTGTGTCAATTTCTTCTTTCATTGCCTTATCCCATTCTTCGGCATTTACTGATTTTCGTGCTTCTTTAAAATTTTGTGATATAACAATTTCTACGGAATTTGCCTCTTCAGACACGGAGCTAGTCTCCTTTTCTACAAAATTAACTTTCCCCGAGTATTCGTTTTTTCCACTAAAATCAAACTTATCTTTTTCAAATTTAATATTTATTGCCTCACAATACATTTCAATATCATTATAGGATCTAAAACGGGTGTCTGTTCCCTCTACATAATAATATATGTCTGTACATCTTCCGCCTGGCCTTTTAACTGCTTTTCTTTGCCAGTTTAAGTCTGATTCTTCTTTCGGGGTAAATTTGTCATCTGAGAACTTTATTTCTTCTCTAGAAGTTTCCTGTTCTTCATCTGATTTTGCTAATAGCTCAGGTTCCTCTAGTCTTTTAAACTTAGTTTTTGATTTCTGTTCCAGGATGCCATTTGCATCCTGGAACAGAAATCAAAGTTTCATCAAATTCAGTTTTTTCAACGAACTTCACATTACAGGTTTCTATTAATCTGCGTTCTTCTGGTAGCCATATCCTATAACCCCTAGTTTCCTTCGCATATCCTACCATGATTTCTTCTTTGCACCTCATTTGTAATTTATTTCTAATCTGTTTTGGCATGCCAACTACCAAATATTTTAAAATAAACAACATTGGGTTTTCTATTTAGAAACATTTCATAAGGGGTTCGGTTGCTTTTATGACATACTCTGTTCCATGTATGTACGAAACAGCCAAGAGCTTCTGCCCACCATTCTTTTCCCATTTTACCATCATTAAGCATAGCTTTAACTGCGGTCTAATGCCGTTCGGTTAAAATGTTCACACACACTGTTCTCTTCTGGGCTGTACGCGTTTGTGCGTTCAACACTAATTCCATTTTCGACTAAGTACCCTTCGAATTGCCTGTTGCAGAATTCCTCACCATTATTGGTGCGTATACTTATTAATTTCCTATTCGTCAATCTTTCCATTTGCCTATGATAATTCTTAAAGTTGTAGAATGATTAATTTTTTTTTTTCATACAATACACTGTTACTAATCTACTACAGTCATCCACAATAGTGAGGAAATATTTACTCCCACCGTTAGATGGAACTGGGAGTGGACCACAAACGTCTAAATAAACCGACTGCAATAGTTTATTTGATCTCTTCGGAACAGTTTTAAAAGTTATTCTACTAGATTTAGCAATAATACACGGTTCACACCTCTCCATTGGTTTTTCAAATTCTGGTAACCCTTTCACGCTTTGATTCTTACTAGTATTCTTAACATAATCAAAATTTACGTGGCTAAATCTCCGAAGCCATATACGGAGCACCATTTTATATCTGCTTGGCATATTGAACTGGTTACTGGTAGCGAACACTTGAAGATGAGACTAGAAAATATTAAGAGTATATGCAGGACTAACGCTAGTTTACGAGACTTAAAAATTTAGAGTATACGTTTAAGAACACTCATCTTTTCTACGGGTTTCCCTAGTAGAACGGCAGATATAGCATTGTCCCATTTTACTTTTTTATTTATTTTGTGCAGTGTGCTTCTTTGCATATTCTTCGATCATTCCTTAAGCAGTGTTATTTGCATTCATTCTATTATGCCTGCATTCTTAATATCTTTCTTGTGCTGCATTCAGGGTTGAGACTAGCCTCCGTTAGGTGAGTAAGCATTGTGCATGCACCCTGCTCACTATGTTTATCTCAATTATATTGCTGAATGCTTAATCATTCCTGTTATTTGCAGCAGATTAGTGCTTGTTTTTATGTAGAGAAGTCAATTGAATGGCATAGCACCTTTTGTTTTGTTTTCTATTAGTTTTATTTAAAATGGTTTGAACAAATGATTTAGTATTCTTTTATGTAAACTTTCAGCCCTCATAGGCATCTGTTCACATGAAATTTCGCATGTGCATTATATTACTAAAACACATTTTTTAAAATTGTATATTTTTATATCTAATTCTTGAAGATGATTCATGAAATATGAATTCCGTAGTAATAAAAAAATTAAAAGGCATTGTACATAATACCTATAACTAACTGGGAATGTATGAAATTATTCATATTTCATACATTTCCTAGGAATACCAAATGAGAAACAGGCAAAGCATGAAATACATTTCTGATTCGTTTTGAAGAACCTAAACTACTTACTAGAAGTTAATAAATCATGTATGAAAACCCAAATGACTACTAAGAAGGAACCATGGGACTAATGGTTCCTGAATCGCTAAGATGTGTATTTGTGGAAAAGAAAAGTACATTGATTTATCATTTTAAAGGAAGCGTCAATACTGTACAGTACTACGTTGCGGATGCCGAGTTATTTCCCGTACTTCATGAAAACTCATTTGAGTACTGGACATGGGCGAGGCGACAGAATGTTGAAAGAACTTTCAACCAAATACAAAAACATTGCACATAAATGATATTGAACTGTACAACCACCTTTGTGAGCTCTGCCAGAAAAAACAAAAAGTTATTAATAAAGGGCATTGTTGTGAAACTTATGACTATTTCTGAAATTAATTTCCGTTGTCAGGTAGATTGTTGTCTTACTGATTCCCAGTCTCGACCAGATAAAAAATACAAATTTATAATGTTGTATCAAATTCATCTCGCTACTTTTTTACGTATTTTGAATGACAGATTTTTAATGGGACTCTTTCATTACTTTTTCAAAATAACATTTGTACTTTTGAGGAATGAACATCTTTTAATAAAGAGCATTTGTCATTCTATAGAATGTTTATGCATTATACACAAATCCTAGGCAAAATATGTAATTCTTCAGATGATATAATTTATTTCTTCAGATAATATAATTTAATTCTTGAGATGATATCATTTTTGTGCATTCCGAGTTATAAAATGAATGAAATGTAACGCTGTTAAGTGAAACTAGCTCCAGGGTGTCTCTATGGTAAATAAATACAGTGAATTTTAAAGAATGCATTTATTCTATTTGGCTTTATGCGCTATCGACGAAGTAGGTTTAATTTAATTTTAGGTTAAGTATAAATGGAATGCAAGAAAAATGTGCATAATTTAATATTTACAAGGAGGCCATGTGGTGTACACATCAGACTCCTTTGAAATGCCCGAAAAATATCCATCCATCTTCTCAGTATTTATTTTTCCAAATAATCCCGTTCCAAATTTTCAAACTAGTTAGCCAAAAAGCCTTTGCAATCATCAACTTTATCAAAAGGATGATCCATGCTTATTGCGTTATTTGCGGGAACTTCATTAATGCTTTCACCTTGTTTAAAATTTTTGTATTCGTCTGCGAGACTATCTGTACAGTCATAAAGCGTTACCATGGTTACCAGTTTTTGCTTTACCATTGTTATTGTTAAAAATAAAATAAAATGGCTGTTCTAAAGCTTCAAAGTTGTGTTTTAATTGTTTATTTAGACAACATTTTTTAATTACACCTGAAGCTTCAATTTCAGACTATGTTAATTCACTGCTGTATATCCATATAAGAGGTTCTGCTCCATCAAAACTTCTTTCTGTGCCTCAGTGTAATAATGAATGCATTGTAGAATGTTGTAAGCTCTTTTAGGCTTGTATTAATATCATTTGTGTGTATTCTGGACTTTTAAAATTTAAACACATAAGTGGAAAAATATGAATAACTGGCTGAGAGGCAGGCACCGCATCGTCAGACGAGATCATTTCTAGTCAAAAGAAGACTTCTGGTAAGCCTAATGATATTCCAAGTTTTCTCGCAGTATCTCTATATTTAGCTTCTCAGCTAATATCTTAATTTTCTGTCATAAGCAAAGTTAATAATTTAAATAACAATATTAACAATGTTCCATTATGTAACAGTGTTCCATTAACAGTGTTTCATTATGTAACACTGTTCCGTTAACAATGTTCCGTTAGCAATTTTCTGTTAATAACGTTTTGTTCTTTCTGTTTAAATGAATGAATGAGTATTTATTTAAATTTTGACTAAATATTTATTTGAATCTCCTTTGAATTTAGGTGAACTGTTGTTGGAATGGGAAGGTCGTCAAGCTCGTATCGTCCACCCAGATGTGTAAACTGTCATTGGCGCCCTACACATGATTTGATCGTGTAATGATGATGAGGCGTGATCTTACCAAATCAGGTGCTCCCATTGGTCCACCTAGCAATGGCTTCTTATCCATCATTCCAGCATTTTTGCAGTCACCATCTTTTTCTGAAGACCAACACATCATAGAAAGAATAAAGGAAAACATAAAAAGGCAACGAAAACTGCTGTCAAATACTTACTGTGGTTAAGAGAAAAAAAGAAAGCTTTTCCCCCCCAAAAAAAAAAACTTTCTGAAAAGTGCATTTTAGAAGAAGAGGCGATTTCTGTGCAGTGTTGTGTTCTTTCATTGTGCAGGAACGTGAACCTTCAGACCAATACCAGAAAATGTATTACAAATTCACGAACTGAAGTGTAAAAAAATGTATGTTTTGGGGTAGGGTATGAATAATTCAGAAATTTGCTTATAATTCAAAGAAAGCCAGTGAAGTGACACCATGGACAATTTTTTGAGAGCTTTTAGATAGAATTTATCAAAACATGTTAAATGGTGAAGAGTAAAATTTATTGCAACATCTAAACTCATTTTTTAATTACAGTACTGAACACGAAATTTGCTGTCAATGTACAGCTGTTGTTAGTTCTATCTATAAAAGGTGAAAGTACCATTCCTGAATACTTGGGATTTTAGAGAAATAATCCACAAAACCTCTACTATGATTCTTCCCTACTTTACAAAACTTTGTTATTGTATATTAATCTAACACAAAAATTGTTTAAGAAATTTATTTATTCATAATGAAGCGATACACAGATGGAAGTGTGTCAAAAACTATTTAAAGTATATTTATTTTATTAATAACAAATTCTATGTTTTGTGGAATACAATCATTAGAGTCATAGTTTGCTTATTACAAATGGCATCACACAGCTGCTTCAAAAACTACTTAGTTGTAGATTGAAAATTATTTGAAAACAAAGGGAATGTATATATTACATATATAGTATGCCCATATTATACTTATAAATTATATTAATTCAGACATTCATTGAGTTAAAAGTACATGAGAATATATTGTTACGAATTTGGTATTTAAAAAGCTAATGTTAGTTCAATTATAAATTAAATGGTTTTATTTCTCGCGCAGTGCAGCGCGTGATGAATATTAAAAGAAAGCTAAGCCGGAAAAATTGAAAATACAAGAGCGCGTGCATTAAATAAATAAATATCTCTTTTTGATTTCGAGAAAGTACTGGAAAATTCTAGCGCGTGATTTTAAAATCTTATAAAAGGAGGAAAACATCTCAGTTTGTAGTAGTTGCTTAGTTTGTTGTTGTTTAGAAAACTACTGTTGTTGATTGTAGCGAATTCGCGGATTAGCATTCTTTAGCTGTTTTGAATTACGTTCTATTGGACATTTGAGTAGTTAAAAGAAAACTACTGTGAGATATTGTAATACTGCATGATAGTTTGAGAAAATTTAAGCATTTTTTTTTGTTGTGATAATAATAAATTTTTGTTCATTTTTCATCGGACTTGTGCATTCATTTCATAACGAACCTGTACGCACGCAACAATTTTTGGTGTCAGAAGTGGGATTTGAATGCCAATTACAAGAGCGATGGAAGAGCAATTAAGACAGCTGATATCAGCGTTTGCCTCGTTTAAAGAAGAAATGAAAGCAGAGATGAAATGTAATCAGGAAAAGATTGAAGCAGGACAGGAAAAGATTGAAGCAAGACAAGAAGAGATGAAAAGAGAAATTACCAGCGTAATAGAAAACAAATTCGAGGTTATGGAAGGCAGAATTGACGCAGTTGAGAATAAAGTTGGAAACTTTGAAGAAAAAGTTTCTTCGGTAAAAGAAGAAATAGAAGAGAGAGTTTCTGCCATGGAACAACAAATTAATGATAGTTTCTGCGGTCAACAAAGAAGTTGATGATTTAAAGAAATTCGTAGCGACGGCAGGTAGCAATCCAGAAGGTTTCAAATTTTTATCGATGCCTGCTCGTTCCGTTCTGAAACTATCTACATATGATGGGAAGACCTCCTGGCAGGTGTATAGGACACAATTTTCTATCGTTGCAGATGCGAATGGATGGGATTCCCAAGCTAAGGCCTGTCATCTCGCCGCTTCTCTGAGAGCAGACGCAGCGGATATCCTGCAGACGCTTCCCGAAAATCAAAGGCTAGATTTCGAAGCTCTATCCGGCACTTTGGAGCTGTGCTTCGGCGAGAAATGTTTAAAAGACTACAGCAGGCTCCAATTAAAATCTCGTCAACAGAAGCTCACCGAAACGCTTCAGGAGCTCGCCACGGATGTTGAAAGGCTGTCACATCACGCCTTTTCGGAGTGCCCGGCAGAAACAAGGGAAATTCTGTCCCTGCAATATTTCATCGATGGCATCCGGGACCCTGAAATACAGAAAGCACTGCGAATGGCGGATGTTAAAGATCTGAAAAGCGCTTTAGTGTATGCCATGAAATTTGAGGCAGCCCAGCAAGCCACCCGTCGAGACCGCCATCCAGTCAGAGCTGCTCAAGTCCAGGAGCCAGGGGATCAAGTCACTGCTCGTCTAGACGATTTAACTAGACAACTGAACGCCTTGAGACAGAATATTGGTGACAAGAAACTGACCGTAAAGTGCTGGAACTGCGGTGCTGAAGGACACATCCGACGAAACTGCAGAACACCCCAGGGCACAGATGCTAAGACCGCTCCTAACAAACAGCAGGGAAACTAATTAGTGGCCATCTCGCGGGGCGGAGGTTGCCAGATCATGAAAAGGCCCAGTTTAAAGCGCTTCAGATTTCTGCAGTGAGAGGCGGCAGTAATGGACTTTTCATAATAGGACATATTAATGGAGTTCCCTGCAATATGACGATAGATACAGGAGCCAACGTTACCATCATCCGAAAAGATTTGGCTCAACAACTGGGAAGCAAACTTATCTGGACGCTGCCCTGCGTTACCCTACAGACTGTGTCCGGTGAGAAGATCAACATCGATGGAAAAGTAAATGCTAACATCACGTTTGGAAGTGCCGCTTACCATCACACGGCATATGTAGCAGAGATCACTGATTCTTGCATACTTGGATTGGACTTTCTAAGGAAATACAATTTTTCCTTGGACTTTAAAAATAACGAATTGCATTCTACATCTGAGGACATAGCGTTATTTTGAGTCAATGATGAAGTTAAATCTGTCCATAAAATCATAGCACAAGACAATATCACAATACCGGCAAGAACAGAAATTTTACTTCCTGGATCTATAGCCGAAAACAGAAATTTCCGCTACGGCATCATAGAATATCCCAATAACTGTAATAGCCCAAAAGGAGTACTAGTAGCCTCAACACTCGTCGACCTATCCAGAACGGTTATCCCGGTGAGAGTCGCCAATGTAACTGAGAAGGCGAGAGTTATTAAGAAAGGCGACGTGGTTGCAGCATGTACTCCAGTAACCAGCGTTGAAAGAAAGAGCAACATCCCAGAACCTGTGTCCTCAGAGAGCATTACATCGGAGTTATTGCAGAATGCGCAATTAAACGATGAAGAGAAGAATGCTGCCGATCGCGTCATTAAAGATCTTCAAGTTGTTTTCTCCCGCTCGTCTTCTGACGTGGGTCGAACTAGTTTGACGCAACATAGAATCGATACAGGCGATCATCACCCGATCAAGCAACATCCAAGACGGCTACCGTTTGCTAAACAGGAAGAGGTACGAACACTTTTAAAGGATATGGAAGAAAGCGATGTCATCGAGCCTTCAGTAAGTCCATGGGCATCTCCCATCGTCCTAGTCAGAAAGAAAGACGGCTCAACAAGATTTTGCGTCGACTATCACCGGTTGAATGAGGTTACGAAGAAAGACAGTTACCCTCTTCCTAGAATTGACGACATTCTAGACACTCTTTCTGGCAGCAAGTGGTTCTCAACACTTGATTTAAAGAGTGGGTATTGGCAGGTAGAAATACAGCCTGAAGACCGAGAGAAGACGGCATTTACTACGGGACAAGGGCTTTGGCAATTCAAAGTGATGCCGTTTGGACTGTGTAATGCGCCGGCAACATTCGAACGTCTTATGGAAACTGTTTTGAAAGGCCTTTCCTACGAAGCCTGCCTCATATACCTGGACGACATCATCATCGTCGGAAAGAGTTTTGAAGAACATTTAGAAAATCTTAGGAAGGTGCTTCAGAAACTGAAAGAAGCCAATCTGAAGCTGAGTCCCGCTAAATGCAAATTGCTCCGAAAGGAAGTGACTTACCTGGGACATGTCATCTCTGCAGAAGGTGTGCGCACGGATTCTGAAAAGGTATCAGCCGTTAAATCCTGGAAACGTCCCGAAAATGTCCATCAGCTGAGAAGCTTCCTAGGGCTTTGCACCTACTATAGGAAATTCGTGAAGGACTTTTCTTCTATCGCAAGACCCCTACACAAGCTGACAGAGAGCAACCAAAAGTTCTTTTGGACAAAAGAATGCGAGGATGCATTTAACAACTTAAAGGAGGCTTTAACATCTGCTCCAATCCTGACGTATCCTCAGCTTGACCGACCATTTATTCTCAACACCGACGCGAGTAATGAAAGTGTTGGTGCTGTTTTGTCCCAAGAAATAGACGGCCAAGAACGTGTAGTGGCATACTGGAGCAAGTGCCTGTCTAAACCGGAGAGGAATTATTGTGTCACCAGGAAAGAGTTGCTCGCCATAGTCAAAGCTGTAGAACAGTTCCATCACTATCTATACGGCAGAAAATTCCTGCTCCGCACCAATCATGCATCATTGACCTGGCTTTTAAATTTCAAGAATCCTGAGGGTCCATTACAATATGTAGGTTGCTAGATTGTGCTTTGACTTAGAATTAAACTTATGCCTTCTTAAATTTGAGATTAAAAGTATGAACATCATGAACTTGCAGTAGTTGATCATTCTTTAATTAGATTCTTTTTTTTTTTTTTTTTTTTTTTTTTTTTTTAAGCCCAAAGGGGAAATTTGCTCAGAAGGACTATTAATTTTGTTTTGCCATTTTGCATTGGTTCACTCTAAACGGCATTTCACTTTTCAAATTGTTGCCAGCAAATATTAGAGCTCTGCATTATAAATAAGGAAATTAAATAATAAAGAATCTGCATGAATGCATGTATGTTTCTCACACTGAAAAAACAATGGTACCTAGAGGCATCAAATTTTAAATAATTTAGTCCTCCACTCGAATATGGGCATCTGGAAGCCCGAATTTGGAATTAGTATTAGCATGTATTTCCTATTTTGTAAAACTTAAATGAATTTCTGATTAACAAAATCAATGATTTCAAAGCAAGCAATGGCAACACTGTACGGGGAGGGGTAAAAAAGTTTTTATCTTCAGCGCGCGACACTGTGCATCGGAAACTCTGATTTTCGATATCCTCTTTTTTAATTTTTTTGTAATATTGCTGTTGAATATAATTTTACAGGTTAAGGGTGAAGAAAATGATATTTAATAAAGGTAACTTACAAAACATAAAAAAAAGTGCCCCTTTGGGCATAATATAAAATGATTATTTCATATTAATGCTTTCAGATTTTACA